TTTGGAAGGAATTGTGAGGTAGACTTGATACTAAGTTGTTGTTCTCAACTTCTTGTCACCTACAAACTGATGGCCAAACTGAAGTTGTGAATAAAACCTTAGGTTCTATGCTTCGTGCCATCATGCATGGAAAGTTGGCCTCGTGCGAGGAACATTTGCCTTTAGTTGAGTTTGCATATAATTGAGTTATTCATAGTACTATTGGCATGAGTCCATTTGAAGTGGTTTATGGTTTTAACCCCCTAACCTCTTTAGATCTCACTCCTCTTTCTCAAGATGTTGTGTTAAGCTTAGATGGGAGTAATGAAGAAGCTTCATGAAAAGGTACAGCTGCACTTAGAGAAGAAGAACCAAGATGTAGCCAAAAGGGCTAACAAGCGCCGTAAGGGGGTCGTGTTTGAACTGGGTATTTTGGTATGGGTACACTTTTGCAAGGAACAATTCCCTACCGATCGCAAGAAGAAGCTAATGCCGAGAGGCGATGAACCATTACCAGTGCTTGAGCGGCTCAACGACAACCCCTATAAGGTTGCCCTTCCTCCAGAATATCAAGTACACAACACTTTCAATGTGTGCAACCTATCCCCATTCCCAACTATTGATGCTGATGATCCATCGAATTTGAGGACAAATTCTTTTCAAGAAGGAGAGAACGATGCAATACGAATTTCATCAAGGCCATTTACTAGAAGCCAAGCTCAAGACCTTCAAAGGATGCAAGGGTTATTCATGAAGATGGAGGTTCTCGAGATGGTATTTGTCATGACCCGAAAGCACCCCCTAGTCGTAACCGGCGTACTCGACCTCTCGGAGGTCTAATACAAGCCTCTTAGCATTCATTCATCGCATAACACTAAAAACATAATGAATTTAAAACTTTCTTTACCAAGAAAACATTTAATTAAAAAAAACAAGCGGAAGACTTTCTAGACTTTATACATGATGTCTCATAACCATCTAATACTTTAGAGTACAAAATTCGGGACTAATCCCGTACACAACTTAAACAATACTAAAAAGACATAAAAGAACATATTGGGTATTGTCCTCGAATCTATGAGGACTCACCAAGTCTTCATCTTCAACACTTAGAAACCTATCAAATAGCCATGACATGTCATCATCTCCAAATCCCTACACTTTAGTTAAAAAGGGAAAGAAAGGGGTTAGCACAATTAAGTACTAAGTATGGAAGCCATGCAAAAAACATGCTAAAAGGGACGTTTATTGGAGAAACATGCTTTTATGCCATTTGGTAAAACTTCATAAAAAAAAATACAAGTAAACCTTTTCATCATTTCTTGACCTCTATCTCAAGTTACCCAAAGCCACACTTAAGTGAAACATGAAGTGACCGCCCATACAATCTCTTCATATACACCTAAGTATTCCTAAGGGTTACCATAGATAAGGAAATTTACCATTACAATATAACATACTAAGTCAATGTTCACATATAAAACCATAGCCAACCGTATACATACTCAACATATATTCATATACAACCCATGCTTAAATTTAAAGGAACACATGCCATTTCATTACCATAGGACCTCTACCTAATATAACCTTAAGACACACTTGAGTAAGACAAGAAGTGACCGCCCATACAACCTCTTCAAGCACACTTAAGTGTTCCTCAAGATTACCTTAGATAAGGACATTTCCTTTACAACATAACATCAATAGACCAACATTCTTTAAGAAACCATTTTTGGAGACATTCAAGCACATAAGGGGACTTTCACATAATAGTCGTTAGACTTAGGGAACTCACTTTAGTATCTTCAAAGCCTACTCGTGCCATGTGTAGATAGCATCCCATACTACTACCTACACTTTGTAGAACCTATCAAGAAACCATAATGAAATCTCACATGATGGGAAGTAAGCATTTAACCGACATAGACCATGAGAGCTTGTCATGGAATCCGGTGTCATGAGTCCCCACACCGAAAAGAGGTGGTCTACTTGCCTAAGGAAGACCGGTATATATAGCTTAATGGATCCACTAGCTTCCTATGCGGGCACATAGTTTATGGGATAAGGTAGACGATCATTGAAACTCATGCCTAACTGTCGGGGGAGTTTCCATCTAACCAAATCCGCTCGGTGCTTAGCCTACATTCCCATAGAATAGTTCATTACTTTGACATCATCACACATGAAAGGGTGCCATAAGCCTACCGATTCAAGGTACATTATTTAACACATGAAAGGGTGCCATAAGCCTACCGATTCAAGGTACATTATTTAACACATGAAAGGGTGCCATAAGCCTACCGATTCAAGGTACATTATTTAACACATGAAAGGGTGCCATAAGCCTACCGATTCAAGGTACATTATTTAACACATGAAAGGGTGCCATAAGCCTACCGATTCAAGGTACATTATTTAACACATGAAAGGGTGCCATAAGCCTACCGATTCAAGGTACATTATTTAACACATGAAAGGGTGCAATAAGCCTGCCGATTCAAGGTACATTTAGGAAAGCTCATTAACTCCTCTTGAAAGGGTGCCATGGGCCTACCGATTCAAGTCTCATCATTAACCTTTATGGAAAGGTGCCATAGGCCTACCGAATCCAAGGTTCATTACTTATCATTAATGGAAGGGTGCCATTAGCCTACCGATCCAAGGTTCATTATAAGCATGTGTGGAAGGGTGCCATAAGCCTACCGATCCAAGGATTCAACAATCAACAATATAATCATTTATACAAGAAAATGATGCATAAGCCCTACCAATTCAAGGTATACTTTATATTGAAGAATCCTTCATATTATATCATCAACATTCATGAGTGTCATCAACACATCTCTGGATTTCCATACATCTCATAACTCAAACTTTAAAGCATCGATTCATCAATTCTCCATAGTTGGACATTTTGTCAAACACCTTGAAGGCATGTAATGGAATCAAAGAGCATGGAAAATAGGGTAGTAATTATGCAACCAAACCAGTGAACAACCTACAACAACACCTTTACATTCATAACATGATCACATTATCTTCATTGAACTCTCATTCATACAATGTCATGATAACACTTCAATTTCTCATACTTTGCCTTTAAGGCCATAAGCCTCTCATACCAATACACCAACAATACACCATAAACTAAGCATGAGTAATGACATACTTCAACAATCTAAAGACATTTAAACAAGTTCGATTCATATACATTCATTATCAAGCAACCCACTTTATAAAGGCATAAACTAGGAATAGAGAGAAATCATGGGTTCATGGAGTATTTTCGTCATAAATCATCATTTAAACACTAATACAATCATAATAAGTCATTAATAACCATTTGAAAACGTTTGAAGAAGGAACCCATGAGTTAGAGTGAAAACCTAGATTTTGAAGAACTTGAAACCTTTGAAAACTACCACGCCTACTGGAAATTGCTTTTTCCTGCCGAACAGATTTTACGAAAATGGGCATAACTTCTTCGTCCGAACTCTGAATGAGATGAAACGAAGTGCGTTAGGTAGCTAACTCAAAGGGATTTCCATGGATATATAATTGGCCACCCAAATAATTTGTGTGCTAGGAGATATGACCCTCCAAAGTAGACCCTCGAAAAAGGCTTCACTTGGAAATTTCGGATTTTGATACGGTTGCTCTAAAATTTGGGTTAGACCCATTTCCCACTCAATTTGACCCCCTAAACAAGAATATGAAGTCGGATTTTCGAAAAACGAAACGGATCTTTTTATATACAGCTAAACAAGTTTCCGGTAACTTCCGAAGCACATTTTTAAGAACTTTTTGGGTCAAATTCAAATATAATCATTTCATTAAGTTCTCTACTCCAAACTCACATGTGAGGCTCTAGTTTCACTCTATCATTTTTCGGTTCGTTATAGTATTGATGGAAAACAAGGGATTTCAGACCTTGAAGATTGCATAGGGACGTTTTGGCGAGCAGGACCCACTTGGCACATCGCCCAACGCACTAGGCGATGGTCCCATCTCGCCTAAAGTTCCAGAACATGGCCATGGCTGAATACCATGCAAGAATACTCGCCAACCAGGTCAGCGCATCGCCCAATCTACTATGCGACTCGATCCAGCTTACCCTTTGGCACTTCGGGTCACTTTTGGGCCCTTTTATCCTCAAACTATAAATAGCTAGTTTGGGTTCATTTTAGACTTAGATTATTTTAAATGTTGTAAACTGAAAACTCATGTTTGAGTGTTGAGAGCTTGGTTAAGCATTTGTTGAACTTTGTTAGGAACGTTGGTTGCTTGGGATATCGAATCCCTTGAGGTCATCGTAAGAGTTAGGTTCTATAGTTGGATCAATGAATCGAGGTCATTGGGTTTAATATATACCTTTTGGTTGCCTTTTGTTTCCTCTTGTGTGTCTATCTATCTCTCTTTACTTTATTTTTTTTCGATTTCCGCATATTATTGTCGTTTCTCTTGTATAATCGTATCATTAGGGGTAAAGTTTGGATTTAGGGTTTAGGGTTTAGAGTTTAGGATTTAGGGTTTAGGGTTTAGAGTTTAGGGCAAAGGGTTTAGAGTTTATGATTTAGAGTGTAGGGTTTAGGGTATAGAGTTTTGATTTATTTTTTTTAACGACCCTTGGGGGGATCAGGGGCATAGCAACACCCCAGGCCTTAACATTGATAATAAAAAGTAACATACAAGGAGGGGGACATAAACCTTACCTCCGAACCTATGGTGGCACACAAGTTGGTCTTCCTACTAAGGATGACTATCTTGTCCCCATTTCTAGAAAGTGAAACCTAGTACTAAGCACCTAAGGAGAGGACTTCTCTCGTACAAAAAAACTAGGAAGCATAAACAAGGGAGACTCTCCCCTTACAAGGAAGAAAGAGAATAAAACGAAGGACCTAGATGAACTATTATATCTAACTGATACATAATTCAAAAGGAATAAATCAAAGTAGCTCATGGTGGTTTTTTAATCCTCTTCAATTTCTTTCTGCTGAAGTGCAATACTCCCATTTTTTCTAAAAGATAACTTCCTTTGACGATTGCTGGTAATTGTTGGGTGGTGTAGTAGTGTGAATCACATCAGTTTTATGACTTATTTTGGATAGCAAATCTGTTGTACTGTTTGCTTCTCTGTAAGTATGCTGACAACTGAAGAATTCCAATTGCCTGGTAAGGTTGATAAGGTCCTGAATACCTTGCTGCAACTGCCAGGGGGGTTTGAGAGAGTGTGTCAGCCATCTTGTAAGCAATTCTGAGTCGATTTCAAGTGCTATTCTTCTGTACCCATGTTGTATACACCACTCAATGCCATGAATAGCTGCTAGTGTTTCTGCTTGATTGTTGGTGCCGTATCCAAGAGGGATAGTGAATGCATACACCATGCTGCCTGTGTGATCTCTCAGAATTCCCCCTCCCCCTATCTTGCCTGGATTGTTGAGAGCACTTCTATCTGTATTGAGTTTCAAAGTGTTGGGAGGAGGTTTTTCCCAACTAACTTGCCAGATTCTGGTTTCCTGTTTGCAGAGCTCAATGATTTTGATCATTTCTTACCAAGTTTGAGGCCATTGAATGTAGGGATATGCTGTGGTAATTAAATGCTTGATATCCTTGTTAATAAGAAACTTGACTCTAGTAATGCTAGATTACTTGCCCCCATATTTTACCCCACATCTATTCTTCCATAAATTGCAACAAATAATAATAGGAGCTGCTTGGATAAATAGTTTGTGCACATCATTTATTTTGTTTCCATTCCCCACCAGCAGTTGAGGAGATTTCGCAAATACATTTGGTCATGTTTGATCCCACAGGGAGCAGAAAAAAATTTCCAGATGTAGTTGGCGAAATTCCCATTGACAAATATGTGATTGATCTCATCATTTCCAGGTCTATTACAACATGAGCAACTAACAGGAGCAACTCCAAATGTTGTAATTTTCTCGTTAGTTGGAAGCTTACTTCTCAGGGCTCTCCATAGCAGAAAAGATATTTTGAAGGGGATATGTGTGTGCCAGATGAGCTTGCTGAGGATATTACTATCCTTTTTTTCCCTACAAATATTCCATGCTGACGAACATGAGAAGACTCCATTCTCCTTAGGTTTCCACACTGATGTATCCTCTACTCCTGCTTGATAATGAATCCTGCAGCTCAGAATTTTTGGAATCAGAAGAGGAGGCACTTTCTGTCTTAGTAATGTCTCATTCCAGGTGCCATTTTCTATGAAGTATGACACATGAGTGTTGTTGAGGCTGGTGATGTGGTCACAGTGCTGAGCTAGCTGCCCTTCACCAAACCAATCATCCCACCAGAAATGGCTATTACCCGATTGAACTTTCCATGTGATATGAGGCTCAATAATGGTCTTGTTTTTCATCATATATTTCGAGATCAACAACTGTCTAGTGTCCCATTTTTTGGCAATTGGATTGGCTCTTTGACAGTATTTGGCTCTTAAGAACTCACTCCAAAGAGATTTCTTAGTTCTGAATGTCCATCATTGCTTGAATTGCATTGCAGTGCAGATATCTTCAAGTTTTCTAACTCCAATGCCTCCTTCTTCATAAGGAAAACTTAAAGTTTCCCATGACATCCAATGATACTTCTTTTTTTCCTTATCCCAACCCCAGAAAAAATCTGCTGTAACTCTCTTGATATAATTGAGAGTAGTTTGGGGAGGAGAAATAGAAGCCATGGTATGAATGGGAATAGACTGAAGCACATGCTTGATCAAAGTAACTCTTCCCCAAAAACTTAAAATCTTTGATTGCCAACCACTGATTCTCTTCACCACTTTTGCCACTAAGTCTGAATAATAAATGATTCTCTGGCCTCCAATATATAAGGGGCAACCCAAGTAGGTTATAGGGTTGTCTTGCTGAGAGAAACTAGTAATCTCCTTTATCCTTTCAATAGTTTCCATAGTAGTATTTGTGGGAATCATGAAATGACTCTTTTCTTTGTTGACACATTGGTCTGAAACAGCTTTATAGGTGCTAAGAGTCTTCATAATAAGTTGTAGAGACCTTCTAGTGGTAGAAGTAAATATAATTACATCATCAGAAAAACATAGATGGTTAATTTGAGGACCCCTAGTTTCCATGTGAAATCCCTTGTAAGTTTGATCATGATGGAGGAGATTCAGCATTCTGGAAAGTATCTCAGCACCTAAAATAAATAGGGTTGGGGATAGGGGATCCCCTTGTTTGAGACCTCTAGTCGAGTGGAAAAAACCATGCCGAAAACCATTAACAATGACTGAATACCAGTTATTACTCATAGTTCTCCATACAAGATCAATAAAATTCTCTCCAAATCCCATCACCCTCATAACAAGGCAAGTGAATGGCCAAGAGACTCGATCATACGCTTTGGCCATATCCAATTTAATCACGACATTTTCTCCTTCCTGAGGGTTTTTAATATTATGAATGATTTCTTGGGCCAACATAATATTTTCCGAGATGCTTCTGCCTTTAACAAACCCTGACTGATTTTCTGAAATAAGATTAGGAAGAATAGGAGCTAGTCTTAAGCAAAGAATCTTGGAAATGATTTTGTTAGTGAAGTTGCTCAAACTTATAGGTCTGAATTCACTAAGCTTGTTGGGATGTTCAATTTTTGGCAGGAGAACTAAGCATGCATGAGACATAAACTTAGGCATAATATGCCCACTGAAGTACGACTGGATAACTGTAAGAAGATCATCCTTGATGATATCCCAACATGCTTGATAAAATTTTCCTCCAAAACCATCAGGACCAGCTGCAGAGTTAGGGTTCATTGAAAAGACAGCATGTTTAACCTCTTCCATACTGACCATATCTTGAAGAATTTGATTTTGCTGCTCAGTGACCTGCCTTGGTAAGCACTGGAAGATTTGGTCAGCTATTCTATTTTCCTGTCCAGAAAAAATTCCCTGAAAGTAGTTACAGGCAGCCTGACCAATTTCCTTATCTCCTTGAACCCATTGACCATTACCATCACAGATTTTGTGAATGAAAAGTTTTCTTCTTCTTCCCCTCATGATAGAGTGAAAGTATTTTGAGTTGGCGTCACCTTCCTTAAACCATTGAAGTTGTGTTTTCTGTTTAAGGATAGATGATTCCAACTTAAGATATTTGATGTATTGAGCATTTACAAGGTGCATATTTGCCCTATTAGCCTCAGAGTTGTTAGTAATAATCTCCTCCTCTACTGCTCTTACATGTTCTTCATATTCCTTGACAATGCTGAATATATCACCAAACTCTTTTCTAGACCAGGCACTAAGAGTAGCAGCCAGTCTCTTTATTTTTTGATGAAGTTTCCACATAGGATTGCCCTGAACTGTTCTACTCTAGCATTCCTCAACTGTGTTCATAAAAGTATCACTTTCTGTCCAACAGTGGAGGAATTTGAAGTATTTAATATGTTGTTCATCTCTAACAGTAAGTTCCATGAGTAAAGGGGTATGATAAGAACAAACTGAAGGCAGATGATTGATGGTTGTCTGAGGGATCATGTCAAGCCATTTGGCATTAACTAGAGCTCTGTCTAATCGTTTCCATACTCTGGCCCTTTCAGATCTTTGATTACACCAAGTGAAATGTTGACCATTGTACCCAATATCAATCAAACCACAAGTTTAAATCATACTAAGAAAGTCAAAGCTTTTATTCATGTTATAAGGCAGCCCCCCTAGTTTCTCGTCAGTGGATGTAATCACATTAAAATCACCAATAGTGCACCAGGGTTCCTCCTTATTTGAATAATGAATAAGTTTATCCCATAGAGGTCTTCTGAGGTGTTCCTTGCATTTTGCGTAGATAAAGGTAACAAGGAATTTTGCATTGCATTCGACATGATTTAGTTCACAAGTAATGTGCTGATCTTCTACTTCAAGGATATTGCATTTCATGTCAGAGTTCCAGAAAAGCCAAATTTTGCCATTGTTGTTACAATAAGGTTGCTCCATGTTAAGCTAAATTTTGCAAGTGTTTATATGTGAATTATCAGAGAATGGTTCAAGAATTGCTATCATAGAGAGATTATGCATCTTTTTGAGTGTTTGAAGTCTTTCAAGAGATCCTTGGGAGTTAATACTCCTAGCATTCCAACATAGTGTTCTGATCATCAAAAACCTCTACTTCTGGACCTGGTGTTGGGTCTACTTGAGTTAGCAGATGTGTTGGTGTTGGCTTGCTTGGTTTTGTCTACCTCTAGGAGACAACCTTTGCTGATCTGTCACCTCTTCAATTTCTTGTTGAAACATGGTAGATCCAAATGCTTTAATAAGATGTATACTTGTCTCCTCCTCTTCTTCATCATTTTTCATTCAAGGACTGAGTATCTTGAGAAAATTCATCTTCAGATTGTATGTTGGCATACTCATCCTCTGCTTCCTCACTGTTTTGACCTGTGTCAATTTTTTGAGTTTGTTGCTGACGATCTTTAATTTTGACCTGCTTTCCTACTTCTGCCTGGTGTTTCCTTTTGATAGCTTCCTTCTTTTTCTTACTCATTTTTCCTCTGGATTTATTGTTAGGAGTTTTCCTTCCAGATTCATCATTAGCATTACTAGGATTCTGAGTGCCCTCACTTCCTGGTGTTACTTTCTTTTTTGGAGTCTGATTGTTATTTTCAATATTCACACCCTGACCTTCCTGCTGTTTAGATTTTTCAGAAGTTCTTACCTGTTCCATTGTACTGTCAGTTTGTTTTTCTTGAGGGTTACCAAGTCCTTGAATCTGTACACCTTTTTGAATTTCCTGCACATGATGACCTGCATTGACCTTGTTTTGAAAAGTGGTTGCAGAGGCTCTAAGGTCTCTACTAAGGTCATTGTGAACCCCCTCATGCAGAACATGAGTCAAATTCCCCCATTTGGTTACCCTTTCCTGCAAGTCAGCTGGTTTCTCCTTACTTCCCCATCCATACCTCCATCAGCTTCATCAACAGCACAATCATAATTAATATTGGGATTCTGGGGATTATGGAGATTTGAGTCAATGCCTGTGGTCTTCTTGCTTTGCTCCTGAGCAAGTGCATTGTGATTTGTGTGCATGTTTTTATGCACTTGATTTTTTGGATTTTTTGAAACTTCCTCTGGGACAGTCTTTAATGTTATGACTGCATTTTCTTTTGTTTGTTGAGGCTCGTTTCCATCCTGATTGTTGGTCTGTTCCTGTGCAACAAGATCAATGAAATTATTATGAATGAGGATAGCATTCATACCTGTCTGTTTGTGGTTTTGATGGATCGCCTGATTGTGCATTCATTTTTGTAATGGATGTTAATTGTTGTTCTTTTTCTTTTGTGTTTGCCATTGCTCTTCTTGTGACTGTTGTGCTTCCTTTTGCTCCTCCTGCTTCCTGTTGTTTGTGATCCCTATACTTGAATTTTGATCTCTATGAGGTGCATGTTGTTGCTCCTTGTTTTCAATTTCTTTACCACTCTTAGTCTTTCCTTCCTCTTCTACTTCTCTTCTTCTTTTTTGGTCTTCATCCTTTTGCTTAATGCTGCATTCATAGTCCATATGTCATTGATGCATGCAATAGAAGTAGTAGAGGGGTACATATTCATATTCAATAGTCTGACATCTTCCATCAGTTAAGTCATCCCCTTTGTAGCCCATCCTAACATGAGGAGGTCTCTTTTTAGAGAGATCAATTTGAACCTTCACCTTAGCTTTACTTCCCCTAGTTTTCTGGATGGAAGCTAAATCCAGGTAAAGCACTTTTCCAACCGGTATAAGCAAACCAGCCACAAAGTCTTTGTTATAACAATGCAAAGGAAGGTCAGGTAGAGTTACCCACATGGGGACAATTGGAGTCTCAACTTCAGGTTTAAATGAAGGTGTCCAGGCCTGTATTCGCATAAGCTAGCCTGCTATACTCATCCTTTGCTTAGTCCAAACTGTGTTGTAGTCCAGTTCATTGCCTAAATCTATATAAACATTCCTTGCATTGTAGTGAGCAATCTTGACCCCCCCGATAACTGAGTTTGGAGAATGAAACTTTTTCTAATGATTTCTACCTTAGGCATAGTGTGACTAAATTTTCCAATCAAGGTGTATTTGCATGTTTCAGCAAGGGGTCCCAAAACTTCTTCTTTCACAAAGAGTACAGCCGGAGACCCTGTTTGGTAGAGATCTCAGGAGTGGTGAGCTTGACGGAATTATCAATTTTGGACTGGTTATGCCTAAGTCTGGCAGCATCGGTTTGGACCACTGTGTACGGGGTAGGTTCAGGTATGTGCTCCTTCTTGTTAATATTGGTGTTGGGTTGATCATGTTTTTCATTATCTTGAATAGGTTTGGTAGCAGGTCTATTCCTGTGATTGGGATTTTGAGGTTCAAAATTGCTAGAGACTTTAGAATAGCCATTACCTGGTTGA